AATTTCAGCCCAGGGATGATGCAGTGGTGAGGCGACTTGGAGGGAAGTCCACGGCAGCTCTTTACCTGACCCTGCCTCAGTCACCATCAGTCACTTGGATAAGGACATAACAGGCATATTCCCCCAATGTGTGAATCTTGATTTAATCTATCTCATAAGGCTGGAATAGAAGTATAAAAAGTAACCGGGAAAGCTTAAGGTCCGATAATTAGGTGAGGACAGAGAGCTGGGTTCACAGAAGCAAGCACTGGACAGGGAAGGACGCTGGGGACTGCACAAGTGCGGCACAGTGTGACTCAACCTGAGGAGCACCGGGGTTCTCACAGGGTGATTTCGTCCCCTAGGAGACACGTGGCCATGCCTGGAGACAGTGTGGGTTGTCACAACAGGAGAGGGGTTTGTGGTACATGATTGGCATCTGGTGGTCAGAGGCCAGAGACGCTGGGGAGCATTCTGCAAAACTCAGGACAGCACCCCCAGCCTAGCCTCGTTGTCAGTGGTGTCAGGCTGTCACCTTGCCCTGGGAGGACTAAAATGAACTAACAATATGTTAATGAGCACATAGACAAGGACTTGGAGAACTAAAAGGACATTGACCATCCAGATTAAGGACTGTCCCAGCTAAACTGTACCTGGAAAAACATCTAATTCTGGGTACTAGTTTAGATGTAGATAGGGATGTAGATAAATGTGTGTGTCTGTGGGGGGGGAGATAGCAGAGCCAGGGAAAATGGCTGAAAAATCTGGAACCCATATTACATCAGAACAGTAGGAAAACTTGGAAAAAAAGATTTCTCAGGGTGTGGCATGGGTGAGTATAAAAGTATGAAGAGCTCTTATGGAAGAAGCTGCCTGTGTAGTCCATGTTGCTCCAGAGGACAAAACCAAGCCCACTGGATAGAAGGTAATAAGCTGATAGTAACTATAAATGTGATAATTTTCAATGTGATATTTACCTTTTTTTTGGTTTGTTTTTGGTGCTGGGGATTGAACCCAGGGCCTTGTGCCTGCGAGGCAAACACTCTACTTACTGAGCCATATCCCCAGCCCTCATTGTGATATTTAAATTGCACATATAATTAAGTTATGCTTTATAATTTTAAAAATATTAAAAAAGTACATTTTAGCTATTAGGAGCCACCGCACCCTCCCCATCTCTGTAAGTGTTTTGAGCTTGATGATGGGATCCCTCTTCAGGGGCAGTGTTTCTATTCTACTAAGGAAGTTTTAGAGGAGATCCCTGCAGAAGGTAGAGAACTGACTAGGTTTCTTTGGGCTGGAATATCCAGGGCTTCAGAATTTGAGCTCTGTTTCTTACACAGCTGATTCTCTCCTATAAGCAATTAAACCAGGGATGGGTTTAAAGAAACCATTAGATACAAACTTATTTGCAACACATCAAATTCTAAATTGTATCAGAAATAACAAGAATCAGTGCAGTCAAAATACATGTGAATAAGCCTGGCTAACAGGAACAACACAAACCAAAAGGCAGCACTGTTTACAAAAGCATCAGAGTCACTGGAAAATTATCTAAAACTTTTGACCATGATGTGGGTCAGAGATAATAATCCATGGCCGAGCTATTTTTGTGAAAAAATATTAAGCCTAAGAATAAGAATGGGAATAATATCCTTTTAAAAAAAGAGTACCATTAGGCTATCTTCCATTCATTTAATGAGGCAATTATCGAGTGCCATATTTTGGATGTATTCAAAAACACATTTTCCTCCAGTAGCAATTTCACTACATGCCAAGAGAAACACGTTAATTTTCATACACACAATTGCACAAATTTCTTCAATTATGCAAAATTACCTGCTAGACAAAATGTATCATCTTTTATCAACATCAAGGCATATTATAAGAAAATAGCCCTATTTTTAAAGACACAATGCAGCACACTGGCCCAGATTTCTCAACAGCATTTAGAGCATATTCATAAGTTCTGCTTGATAATATGAACAGTAAGCACAGTCATTGGCGAATACCTTCAATTAGACATATCAAGAACTTTAGATCTCTAAGATGTAAGAAAAGGAATCAAGTAGATAAAAGCTGACTTTGTAGCTTGTGACACCTTACCTTAGGCAAGAAAATGAAGTTTTCAATTTCTGACCCTCAGTAGGAAAGATTATTCTGAAAAGTCATTCCTAACTACACTAAACAAATGGACGTGTCACAGAATATGACAGGTGAAACTTAAAACTTACTACTTTTGAGTTTCACTCCCTCTTCAAACCTAAATAACTTCAAAAAAAAATAACTTATGATTTTTTTTTAAAAAAGTGCCTTTAATTTTCATCTCTAGAGTCCCACATTAGGCAGTCCATTTTAAATGTCCAGTTGTCTAGAAACAAACACACACAAGAGGCTGATCCTAGTGCGACCAATTAGGGTCCCACAGGCACAGAAGTGCCTTCTAGTGAAGGCAGCTATGGATGACAGGGATTATCTGTATAAAATTCATAATTACTACTGGAAAAAACTCAAGGCATATGTTCTAGTGACTGCCAGTCACAGCACCACATCCACAGATGAAGCATTGATGATAACACTGGTCCTGAGGAATAAATATGGTGGGAGAAGGAAAAGTGGGTGAAACCACCAGCAAATCTGTCGAAGACAACTTGGTATTCAGCTATAAAAGTCTAACTTTTCATTGCATTATACGTTTCTAATTGCTTTTTAAAATACACTTGGTCTATGAACTTTTTTTTTAAAGTTAGTCTAATGAACTAATTTTAAGATCTTTGGAATACAGAAAAGCCATTTCCCAGCTGGGAAAAACAAAGCAGAACGAAAAAGATTCTGGAAAACAAAATGAGTTCTGAAAGCAAAGTAAAAACTAAAGAGCAAAAAAAAAAAGAGCAGAGAACGAAATGAGACTAAGGAAATCAGCTAGTCTATGATCTAAGTAGAAGGGGAGTGTTTAAAGTTGGTTATGGGCAGCTATTGATTTGTAGGGCACACTACAAGAAGCCATCACCCAAGGGTACAATCACAGCCTTTTCCCACAGGATGGGAGATGCGAGTTTCGCTATGGGTTAGCAGCTGAGGTCTTCACCTTTATCTCCTTGAAGAAGGAAGCAGTTTCACCCTCGATAATTGGTTGCAGCAAAGGGCTTCTCCGCTTGCTGGAGGGGGAACCCTGTGACAGGTGTTAACAAGTAGGTTACATTGAGAACCCCTTCCCCTCTCCCTCCTCCTCTGGGCTTCCTCTGGCCACACCAGTATTTGATCACAGTCTTTTAACTATTCTAACCCCTTCCCACCTAAACCTCCCAGGAAAACCTAAAATGACCAAAATTCTTCTCCAAGTTGTAGCTTCCCTTCAGAGCCCACACCCATCCATCAGGGAAGACAACTGGGTCAAGAAGATCATGTGACTAGGTTAACCAAACACTCAGAAAAATCCTAAAGGCAAACACACCTGACTCTTTCCTCTTTCCTCCTGGTCACAGTAACTAGAACACTTACAATCAGCTAAGGAGAATAGCCAAGCTCAAAAAGCAACACGAACGTTATCTATCTTCTCTGTTTAGGAACCCTAAGGGTTCTTAACTGGAGAAAAATAATAATTCCTTAGATTCAATCCATTTATTTATGAGTTTATTCTATAGGAAATTTCTAGAAGAGTAGCTGTCTTCAAATACAGCTGCCTGTATCCTCCCTTAGTCATAAAAAAAAAATCACGTTAAAAGAAATATAAAAGCATATTGTAGACCTAGGAAAAACCAGGGGATTTAAGGAAGGAATAGACGAGATCAGCAGCTGAAATGAATATGGATCTCCACGGTGACTTCAAAGTGAGGGGGTGAGTACCCATAAAGAAAAGTCAGCACAGGGCATAAGGGCAACCAATCAGGTAATGTCCCCGGCCCCCAGAGGTGGGGAGGGCACTAACATCCCACTTTAGTGACCAGGGGTGGATGCCCTGTGGCTGGTTAAGGGATGGGAGCAGGCTGGCTGGTGCTGGATGGCCTTGCATAGCTGGAAGGCAAGCTGCTGCTCCCTAACTTGACAAGATAACAATCCAGGGGCCAAGAACAGCGAGCCCAAGGATGGTGGATACAGAGGGCTACTTCAGAACCATTAGCTTGACTCTCTTTTCTTATATTCCCTCTATTTCTCCGCAGCACCCAAGAGCAGGAGACTCTAGAGTTCCTTAGAGGATCCTCCCTGGATTGAACTCTCAAGGGAGCTGTCCCTCTGTGGGATGAGGAAAGACTGTGGACAGAGCCTCTGGGACTAGAGAGGTACTGTTTGGAGTGAAGAGCCTGGAGAAGGTATAGCCCCTGTCCCCTGTGCTCTGTCTTTGAGGAAAGGGTCAGGGAGGTGGCTAAGCACATGTTAGATAGATATATATGGCCAAAGTGTGTCTCCCCAAAGTGTGTTGGGGGGGCGGATTCAATAAGCTTCAGATGTGCTCACTGTAGGCAAAGGTAGCCTCAGAAGTCTGATAAAATCTTCATTCCTCAAGCTTGTGGGCCATGGATATTAATAACTGGTTCAAGCCTTTCCTTTCATGAGAAAGCAGGTTAGAGCCCTATTAATATACCCAGGGTTCTTTCAATCAGAAAGGGAGTGTATAAACAATAGGCAGGTATTGCACTCACAATGATGGGTACAGTGTTGACCCGGGACAGGATCTGTTTCACTAGCCGGTACCTGTCGTATAGTGGCTTCATAACCTGACGTTCATTCTTTGTCACCTGAAAAGCAAGGACAGGATTATTAAGAAGCCAGTTTCCAGGACTCATGCTACCAGCTGTCCAAGAGAACAGCCCTGGTGGGCCCTTGGGTCCTACAGAAAATACAGATGTTACAACTTGAGTCTTTTAAAGAGTTTATTTAAACTATTACTTATTCAAAAAATATTGAAAATACATACTTCAGTGGCAGATCAGTGAAAATCATTCTATTGGTAGTATTGCTTTTCATAAATCAGAACTATGGCCATTCTTCCCAGCTATCCCAGTCCTTGGTAATTATCCTAAAGAACTAAAGTCATCATGCTATAGTGACACATGCATACAATTGCTATGACATATGCATCTTCATAACAATTCACAACTGCCAAACTATGGAACTAGCCTAGGTGTCTGTCTCAGTGAATGAATGGATAAAGAAAATGTGATATATATGAACAATGGGGTTTTACTCAGCCATAAAGAAAAACGAAATGACATTATTTGCAGGAAAATGAATGGAACTAGAAACCATTATGTTAAGTAAAATAAGCAAACTCAGATGCTCAAGGGTCATGTTTTCTCTAATA